TGTTCATCAATATAAGACGAAGTGACTAAAACTGTGATCCAGCTATGCTATGCAAAGGTTGACAACAAATCGTTATCTGTTAGTCTAAGTAGTTAAATCTATAGGATAACATATATAAGATCTCATTGCTGTAAAAAACAGAACAATCACAAAACATTTATACATGTACATACACACATTTGTTTACATAAGTAAATAAATATATAAATAAATAAAATATAGACTGTTAAGATTTGCAACTCAGGATGAAGGGTTGTAGAGGCAACTAGACTTTTTTTAATCATCTATCTTTATATTGTGTTTTTGGCAGTGGTGAACATTTGTATGCTTATTTTCTTCATTTGTGAACCAGAGATAATAACAAATTTCTCACACAATTGCTGCTAGAATTAAATGAAATAACATATGTGCAGTGCCCGGCACTTTGCTGTTAGTGCTGTTGAATTGATTCAGACTTCTGGTGACCCTGTGTACAGAAAAGCGGGACCCTGCCCAGTCTTTTTTGCACCATCCTCTCCCTTCCAGCGCTTTATCAGACAATGCTCCACTGCTATTCACAGAGTTTTCATGGCCAATTTTTTCAGAAGTGAGTGGCCAGTTCTTTCTTCCTAGTCTGTCTTAGTCTGGAAGCTCCACTGAAACCTGTCCACCATGGGTGACCCGATGGTATTTGAAATACTGGTGGCATAGCTATCAGCATCACAACAACATGCAGCTGCCACAGCATGCCGCAATATGCCTGGTTTCCTGCCTGGAAAATGAACCCAGGCCAAGTCAGTAAGAGTACTGAATCTTAACCAATGGGCCACCAGGGCTGGCTGCCTGGCACTTGGTAAGTACCTAATTCATCACACTATTATTATCTTTTGCTTTCATACCGACAGCCTTCTTTTGTCCATTTATAGTGTTTTATATAAAACAGTCTGTCTTTAAAAAATATTGTGTTCAATATCCATAGATCCAAAATGTATAGAAAAATAAAAGCTACCTTATTAAGTGAAATTAACACTCAAACTCTAATGAGGTTAGCTTCATAATACTTTAATAGGCACTAAAAAAATTAAGATTAAATAAAAGTATCTAAGGAGCACTGTGTGGCTATGGCAAATTCCTTAACTTCTCTAACTATAAATGATCTTTGTAAGATGATGATAATGTCTTCTCTGTTTTCTTCTCAAAAGTTTGAAGTGAAAGACGATGTTTGTGGAAATGCTTTGGAATCTGAAAGTACTATACAGATGAATAGTTGTTTTAAAACTAGGATTGTGCCTATGCATAAGCATGAAGTTCAAGATTATTTAAAAATCAAATATACTAAGTAATTTAAATACTAAAAAAAGATACTGAAAAGTAACTTAGTATCTCAAAGATGCTAAAGTGATTTAGAAAGCCAAAGAACTGTTAAAGGAAGCTGTGGTATTGTGGACCATCAGAACTCAATTCCTACCCAGACTCTGACACTCCTGTTAGTCACTTAATATCTCTGGGGAAGTTTTTTTGTAAGAATAATTATGGTAATACCTGTTTTCCACTGGTATTGTGAGGGCAAAATGAGACAGTCTATGCTAGCGTTTCTCAACACTATCAGCTCTAATGACTCTCTTTTATATTGAATACTTTAAGAAATACAATTCCCTATATTGAAATGAAACTCTTAGACCACTAACTGTAACCAAGTATCTAGGCTCCTCCTCTTCCTTTTAGGAACTCTAAAATCTAAACCCTTTTAGCAATCCCTTTTAGAACCCTCCCCCTAAGCTGGCTCAGTTAAAAGCTGCATTCCTCTCCTTCCCTTTGTCCCTGGGTATGGTCACGTTACTAAATTTTACCAGTGGGATGTGAGAGAAATGACATGTGCAGCTCCAAGTTCATGTTTTCTTATTCAGCACTCCTTTTCCATTTTACTTCTGTCCATGGGCCAGAATGTGGATTTGACAGTGCCATCAACTTTTGACCATATAGATGAACACCACACCCTAGGGACTGGCGTAACAATAACACAGAAGGAACTTGGGAGTCTGGATGATCTTGTGGGGCAAGGCCTGTTCCCACCCTGGATCACTGGCTCACCTTTGGTCAGGTATGCGATAAAGAGATAAACTTCTATCTTATATGACTTACTATAATTTGGAGTCTCCTTGCTCCAGCATTATAATCTGTACCCTAATTAATACATCTGACTACACGAATAATTTCAAAAACCTATAACTGTAACATAAAAGAAAATATATTTATAATAAAATAAAATGTATTTATACATGTATATGCTTTGGAACAACTACATTGAAGAGATAATCAATAAGATAAATGCCAGTCATCCCTATCATGAATAAGTTTGGATATAAGTGAACTAAGATGATCAAAGTCATTCTGTATGGGATCAGGAAATTTTACCTGAAGTAGTGGTGGACACAAGAGCAGAGACTACTTTTAGGCTAGGCAGTGACGGACCAGACATTTGTATATGATGAGAGAACAGAAACTGTTAACTGAAATAGAGATAATATTCCAAAATAAATTACAGATTGTCCGAGTATAGAAAATGAGAAGTATAATATTATCCCAAATGAGCTTGGCAAAATAATTCCCAATAGGGAAAATAATTCTCTAACTATGACATGGGATGACCTAGAAACAAAATATCACAGAAAATACATCTCCTTTCTTGAAATCCCACAACATATCAGGGCACACATTCAGTCTCCAGTACTTGAAAAGAACTTGACCATAACTGTCAATAGATGCAGAAGAATATCTTGATGATAATTGGAAACAGAAGCAATAATATAAGATGTAATACAGAATTTTAAGGCATAATTTTGGGGACAATATCAGAGTAAGATTGGAAAACAACAGGCTACCCAAAAAATAATTTCAATATATAATGTTTATAACATAGATTTCTTATCATCATTCTAAAATATTTACAAATATAAAGGGTAGCAATACAATGAAATATTTCTAAATGTTATTTTTTAAAATTCAATGAGATCAATGCATTTCATGTATTTGTTAATTCAGTAATATTTGATTTGAAGACTGTTAAAAGGCACCTCAAATTTCCTGTTACATATTTGTAAATGTTTCCCATGGTTTTTCAGTATCTGCACTTCTATAGTTTACAGCTAAATATATAGCTGGAAATATTACAATATACTGAGTAGAAAATAAGCAAATTATTCAATAATTTTGAGAACAATGTGTTTATTCCATTTCAGCTTCCCTCTCCATAATAGGCCTTCTAAATTCTTTGGCTTTTTGTTTAACATGTTGCGTTTCAGGATTATTTTGTATTAAATCACTATACAATTACATTTATAGTTTGTTGAGTCCAGCAGCACATTCAAAAGTCATGACAAATGTTGGATAGTTCTTGTATACAGTTCTGTTCCACACATTGCAAGATATCTAATGTCCTTAACCTTTGCTCCATAAAATGCATATACTCTCCCAAATTACTGAAGCCCACAAGGCAGGGTCTCTCAAACTAACTGTGGTAAAAGGACCACTTTTCCCCTTCAATCTGTCCAAGAGCTATACTTTTATAAAATTTTAAAAACGAGAGTTATTAGGAAAAAAAATGAAATAAAAACCAAAGACACACAAAATACAAGTTTCATTTTATTGTTACATTCAACAGACAAAAATTACTCTGTCAAATTACTATACAAGTTTCTAAATGGTTACCCTCATTTTTTACTTTTATCTCATTGCAGACCAATAATAAGTAGTTCATAGACCAACTCTGGTCCATGGACCACACTTTGAATACCACTGTCCTAGAGATAGTACCACTTTCATTGAGAATGACTGGTAAAAATAAAGCAATATATAGAAAGGTTAGTTATTATCTTTATCATTCTTGATTCTAAATATCCTTTAGCAGAGACTGAAATAAACAACTCCATCCACATTAACAATCCAGCACTACCTCACATATTCCTGTCCAAATCTTCAGACATACAGGCAAGTCCTATTTCCTTTCTTTTTTAAAGGGTAACCTTGTCTTCTATGATACTGAATTCCTCTCTGCAAAGGTGCATCAACATTATTTAGCCAGCGAAAAGTCCAGATTCCTTTTACATGCCAAAAAAGTAAAAGGATAAAATAAAATCTGATTTTAAAAGGACTTATAAATATCTATATTCACAATATAAAAATGATGCTCATCTCATTGCCCATACATCTATAGGTTCATGCCCAACATCCTTTTCTGCTCTCCCAGGTTACACTCAACCTTTCCTGGGTACATCCTCTACGAACCCCACCACTCAACACAGGAAATACCACAGGGATAGGCTTTCCTTTCAATCACAATTCTTTTTCTTATGACACCAATATATTATTTGTCCAGAAGAATTTGTTTTCAGCATTGACTCTCTTTTCCAGTGGTGTCCTGTTAAGAATATTTTCACTCGAGAATGTCAAGGTTCATCCTATCCTAATCATAGTTTGGATAGTAAGCAGAGTTAACCATCTCTCTGCACATAATATAGAGAATGACATGTTCAATTTTGAAAATTCTTTTAAAGTGCTATTGAATTCACAAATTTTCATCAAACAGATTCTAGGTTTTGATGTATACAAACGGCTGATGCAGTTCTCTACTTAACTTTAAGGTAAAGTCCATATTAAGCTATGAATTTTAATTATTTAAATTTTCCATGAGATTGTTGCACACATTACAATAACATAGTATATAAAAAATAAAATATTTCAGCATATGAGTATGTACATGAAATGTAATTTAAATAAAAGCAATTGCTTGGTAACATAATATTCTATTGTTCTAATTTCTGATAACACTAATGTATGTAACCATAAATATTAAATTTCTAGGGTCAACCTAAAAAAGGAAACATATACTCATGAAACATATATTCAGGAAAAAAAATTGATTATATGTCATTTGCTTTTAAATATTAATTTAATTTTCAAAATAGTATTAATCAAATGGAATTTGAAGTCTGTATATTTTATATAATAAAACTTGATCTTACCCTTTTCTTGGCCAACACAGAAACTTTGCCATCTGCTTTGGATTTATCTGTAAGATAATAAAGTATGGCTGCTTCAAAAAAGTGCCTATGCTCTTGTTCAAATAAATGCAACATTGCACAATTGGAATTTTCTACTTTCTCATTCTGTGATATGTGTTTTCAGTGGTTCTTTTGATCAAAAGGCTAATAAGCTCAGCTTCCCATAGCTGAGTAGAACAAAGTAATCCAAAAGTAATAACATCAGAAATTCGTATACTTATTTGACAAACACCCCCTCTTAAATCTGATTGGTTGGTTGGAAGTCCTCAAGTTAGCATCTAGTATATCTGATTTCTAGGTTCTGGTCAGCATATGTACTCTGGAACATATAGGATCTGGAATTAAATCCCAGCTACCTCCACTTGCACATCTTCTACATGCCAGACATGGGTTAAAAACTTTATATAGACAATATCTTATTTAGCCTCATGATGATCTTGCAAAGTGTGTAGTCCATCCCTTCTTCACAGCTGAGGAAGTCGAGGCTAAGATAAATTAAATACCCTGCCTGGGGTCACGCAGTGGGGCCAGACTCATCTGACTACAAGTCCCTAATCTTTATGTCAGCCGCCATTTGGGACCCCAGAGCTGCCAACAGTGCCTCAGAGAAAGACTCAGCAGGAATGAGGACTGTAACCACATACAATATAGAAAATTACTTCAAAATTTCATGCTGATATGTGCATATGTGTGTGTGTGTGTATTAGTAAAACTTATTCGCATAACCAATATTGGATTTTTAAAAAAAATGTTCAATCTGGACTTCCATAGCTGAATAGGTTATATGTAAATATTTATTCATAGATATGTTTTATAAATCTTAACATTGTAGTAATGCAAAATGGAAAGAGCTATGGACATTAATAATAAAATTTTAGTGTTACATTTAACATTAAAGAAAAATACATAAAAATTTAGTTTATCAATATAAGACTATAATTCATGACATGTAAAACAAACAAAAAGAATATTCATGCATATAAGAGTAAACAAATGCTTGCTCTCTAAAAGCAAATTTTACAGTAAAAAAAAAATTATTGGCATAAAACAGTAGATATCCAGAAGAGTAGGTTATTATATTTATACCTACAATAGGCTAGATGCATGTAAACTGCCATCTTTCCTATGTTCAGCTGTGTATTTGAAATAATCCCTTCTTCTAGAATACCCTTTCTCTGCACTGATGAATGTAGAAGAACATCCACCATCACAGATGAGTCCTCCAACTAGAAGAAATACCCACCTCTTTTGCTAATCTATAATCATCTTAGGTCACAGAACTTTCTTCCTTGTATCATGGTTACTTCTCCTTATGTCTAAGCATTCTGCAAGACTAGAATGTGTCTCAAAGGCAGGGACTATCTTTTACATGAAGTAGGTGCTCAATAATTTTTTATAACTAATAAATGTATATGTATTTTACTTGATCATGGATCTGAAATATACATTTTACCTAAACAAATTAATGTAATTTATTAATGAAAATACATAGAACATTTACGTGGTACAAGTTACCAAACTAGAAAGTGTAAGATATAAAACACAGTATATGTTCTCAGATTCTCAGTTTCTTAATTGATAAACTAGGAGTAATAATTATTTTTAGCTAATAAAAACATTTTGGGTGTGTGTGTATGTGTGAGGGAGAGAGAGATAGAGAAGCAGAGACAGAGAGAGAGAGAGAGAGATCTTAACCATTGGAATACCAGGAAAAATAGTTTATTGATGATATATTTTACTATTGTATCATCTTTTTAAGTGATTTCATCATTCTTCCACTTAAATAAATAATTATTTTAGTCTTTTTAACATAGTTGGGACTAATTGATGAGTAATAATAAAAAAGCAAAATATTTCAAGATATAGAAAAAATAAAGATCACTGAAATCTCATAATGTATTTTACATTTGTAAAAGCACCTAGTGGCACCTGATAGTAATTATAAGATAGAATAAGTTTTGTTGTATTAAAAATTTTTTTCTCCTTCTTCTTTTGAAGACCTCTAATAACAATAAAGTCATGATGAAATACCAAACTGTACATATGGTTAAAACTGTATAAAAAAAACCCTCAAAAACTAAAATTGGGTTCAATGGTCCCTGATTATATCCTGTGGGTTAATGAAAATAGAATAGAAATTTGTTATGTTTCTCCTCAAAATATATGTCATTCCTATGTAAAATTTTCAGTAGGCAGATGAATTTGGAACAGAAATATCCAAACTGTTGTTCAAGGAACTTTTATGTTCAAAAGTTGCAGAACCATCTCCCAATGCAACAAGGGAGTGTTTTGTGAAGTATCAACAACCACTCTGATTTTCAAATGCTACAGGGAAATTCTGATGTAATACTTAAAAACATTACAATTACTAGTAATTTCGCTATTAATAACAGTAGGTCCGTGTTCTACTTCAGCAACATTAACCACTTTCTAAGAGCTGAATTTTCCTTAGTGAGAAAGGTTTAATTTCTTTCCCTGAGAAATCTCTGCATGTAGGGACCCTCACATACAGAGTAAAAAGCAGTTAACAGGAAATACAGATTTGGATAATTGAAAGGGTCTTTACTCCTCCTCTGAGCTATATTCACATCATGTTTTTAAAGTGTAAAAGAGGAGCTGCAGGTAGAAAATGAAAATGTTCCAAATGAGTAGAGGTGGTTATGTCTCATGACTCATAACAGACGTTAAAAAATTTTTATTTACAACCATATTAGAGAGGAATACAAATATTGACATAAATCATTGGCTTCTCTTCCTTAAATAATTTTTTTAAAGCTTGTCCACCATTCATGGCCTCAGAAAACTGTCAGTGTGTGCTTCTTTAAATGTGATAGCTGAGAGCATTTTATTAAAAAGGTAGAGGATAGTTCAGTTTCCAGTATGGCATGTAAGAAGCTTGGAAGTCACCACACCATCCTAACAACAAGTAAAAAGCCGAACAAACTGAAAATCAATAACTCTTCTCATATCCCTCAGAGAAGTGAGGTCACAGGGCAAACTACTGCCCCCAAGTTTGGACAGACAGGTGAATACAGAGAATCATAACTTACCAGAGCAGAAATCTCAAGAACCAGTCAGTGCTGTAACTGATGAATTGCTGGACCCTCAGTGTGAACAAGCCTGAGACAAAAACTCTAGGGGGACCCAGTCACGGGGGAGAGAGACCCACTCTTGTGAGTTTACCTCCAGGAACTCTACCAGGTCCTCACAGCAAAGATTAGAGAAAAATTCCCTTGTGCTTTGGGCAGTGAGAGAAAGAAGTAACCATTCTGAAATAAGCCAGAGCATTTAGTTCTTTTTCACTAGGCCTACCCTCAAGAGAAACTATTTTACCAGAGCCTAACCTGTTGGGTTTTTTTCAGGGCTAGCCAATGTGGAGAAAGGGAAATACCCAAATCCAGCCTGATCCAGCCTTCCACGTGGGAGAAAGGAAATATCCAATTCTGGCCACCTTTAGCCATCTTGTACCACCGAAGGGAGTGAAAAAAAAATGAGAAGGACTTGTGAAGTTCAAAGTCCAGGACTGAAACCTAATCATTGGACTATAGAACGCTTCCTCTACCCCACACACCTTACCACTATACTACTAAAGGCCTATTCACCACAGCTCCTTTTACCCAGTACCTCATTTCACCTTGACACCAAAAATTACAAGGCATACTAAAAGGCAAAAAACAGTTTGAAGTAACAGAGCCAGCAACAGAAGCAGATGCAGATATGTCAAAGATGTTGGAATTATCAAACAGTGAATTTAAAACAATTATGGTTAATATACTAAGTGTTCTAATGTTAAAAGTAGACAACATGCAAGAACAGATGGGTAATGTAAGCAGAGAGATGGAAATTCTAAGAAATAACAAAAAACAAATGCTAGAGACCAAAAACACCAAAACAGATTTGAAGAATGCCTTTGATGGACTCATCAGTAGTCTGGACCCAGCTGAAAGAATCTCTGAGCCTCAGGATACATCAATAGAAATTTCAAAAAATAAAAAGCAAAGCTAAAAAAGACTGAAAAAAACCCCAAAACAGAACAGAATATCCAAGATCTATGGCATAACCACAGAAGTGTAACATATGTGTAATGGGAATATTAGGAGGAAAAGAAAAAGTAAGAAGAAATATTTGAAGCAATGACTGAGAATTCCTCCAAATTAATGTCAGACACCAAACCACAGATAGAGGAAGTTCAGAGAATAGCAAGTAGGATAAATGCCAATAAAAACTACATCTAGGCATATCATATTTAAACCACAGGAAATCAAAGATAAAGAAAATATCTTGAAAGACGTCAGGGGGGGAAAACGCCTACCTATGAAGGAGCAAAGATAATAATTTCATCCAAAGTATCCTCAGAAATCATGCAAGCAAGAAGAGGATGGAGTGAAATATTTAGCATTGAGGGGAAAAAACCCCCCGCCAAATTAGAATTCTGTACACCGTGAAATTATCCTTCAAAAGTAAAGGAATACATATTTTGTTGGACAAAGAAAAATTGAGGGAATTTGTTGCCAGTAGACCTGCCTTGCAAGAAATGTTAAAAAAGAGAAGAAAATGATACAGATCAGATAAAGAGAGGAGGAGCATCAGATAATGATTAAGTGAAGGTAAAATAAAAACTTTTATTTTTCTTATTCTTAATGTATCTACCAGGAAACAGTTTGTTCAAAATAATAATAGTTGGGGCTGGCCTGGTGGCACAGCGGTTAAGTTTGCACCTTCCACTTTGGTGGCCTGGGGTTCGCCAGTTCAGATCCCAGGTGCCGACACGGCACCGCTTGGCAAGCTATGCTGTGATAGGCGTCCCACATATAAAGTAGAGGAAGATGGGCATGGATATTAGCTCAGGGCCAGTCTTCCTCAGCAAAAAGAGGAGGATTGGCAGCAGATGTTAGCTTAGGGCTAATCTTCCTCAAAAAATAAATAAATAAATAAATAAAATAATAATAGTACCAATATATTCAATTATGTATGCTTATGTGTGTACATATATATATATATAAAAGCA